TAATTGTATTATATAGCGTATTTAATTTTTAGGATTTTAACTTTTAGGATTTAGGATTTTAGGTTTTTAAGATTTCCGGTTTTCTGGGTTTCCGGCATTCCTTCTTTTACAGTTTTAGGAGAATTGCACATTGACATGAACTGTTTAACGCAGCACTTTTAGAGAAAACGGAAGGAATACTATTCAAACTTTATTTACCTACCTTTTGGTCTCAGTGTGGAAACTGTCCGTACAGAAGAGTGAACATCACAAGAAAACAACCTTCTTGAAACAGAAAACATGGCCTCCACTGCCTCTGCCACAGTGCTTTGGGTATCCCGTGTTCATTGGCCTGGGTACTCCCAATAGGGATACCCAAAGCACTGAAAGCGTTAAATACCACAGACTGGGGAAAGTGAAATCATCCATAATTCTACTCAAAATCCATTTATCTTATTAGGAAGCTTTGTCTTAATTACTGAAAGCTTTCTTAATCTTGATATAACATATAATGTCGCTGAAAAGAGTCGCAATTTATAACAGACTGCCTGATCCGAGTCCGCAATATAAAGACATACAAAACCGATTCACGAGCTAAAGTTCCTTTTATGAACATGCGCTTGCTGTCTATGGATAACCCTTGATATGGACGTTATTTTAAACGAGAAAGGCGCGTTGTAAACCTCGGATAGTTCGGCGATTGAATTTAATCAATATGCGAGCGAACACACTGAGATAACCGGCGTTACGCAACATGCACACTGTTACTGACTTCTGTGTATGTTGCCTGTCTGAAATAAACTTTGTCTTAGGGTGCGTTAAGATTGCATTCATTCATCGAAGATTGCATTCTTAAATCCGAAAGAATCCGAAAACGGATTTTGCGTTTCTTTACTAAACAGATCGATCTAAGATCTCTCGGATCATGGTGCGTCAAAGGTAGATTTTGCCAGGGGACAATTCTCTATGCCTTTAAAGGATTTTTTGGTTTGTTTCGGAAACAAATCCCGCCCCCCCTCGAAAAAAAAAAAAAAGCCAAAATAAATATAAACAAAGTAGACAAGGCTTTAAATCTTCGGACATAGGGAAACAAATATATAAAAGTAGGGATACCCCACTAACTGTTGGCTTGTAATAATTTCTTTAGTTCAGGGTAGTTAAATCGACCGCTGTTTTAAAGGCAAAGTAAACTTACAAAGAGGAAAGGCATTCAAGGGAGGAAAGGACTAGAAATGACAAAAGGTAAGGGATACTTAAATCCCTTGTGATATGGGTAACCCGCTCCAGAGCGTTTGTTTGTCCTCGTTTCTTTAATTCATGCCAGGGTAGCCAAATCGACCGAAGATTAAAAGGTAAAGCGGCAAACTTACAAAGACGAAAGTCATTGTTATAAGGAAAGGGCTGAAATTGTCAAAATATAAGGGATACCCAAATCCCTAGTGATACCGGTATCCCCTTCAGAGAGTTTCTTAGTTATCTTTTCTTTAATTCAGGGTACCCGAATCAACCGAAGACGAAAAGGAAAAGCAAACTTGCAAACTGACTAAAGTCATTCAAGGGAGAAAAGG